CAGCAGTTCCCATCTCGCTGTAGACAGGAGAGACACACTTACCAGTGGCAGGTTTCTTACCCCCAAGAGGAAAGAGGGTGAGTGTGCCCTGACGCAATTATTTCAGCAGCGTGAAGTGCACCCTGAGAGACAGGAAAACAGCACGAAGCAGCCTCTACCAGAACCACTAAGAAAAAATTTTAGAGCCCAACTATATTCCTTCTCAACAAAATACTCTTCCCAATACCTCAAAGAAATGCAGTGTCCTTCCTTCAGCATTTCAGATACAAAAATGATTGAAGTAAGTTTAGAGGGGTATCTTGGTCAAGGAAATTTATTCAAGTCTGAATACTTGCAAAATGAGCACTAAAAAGAGGCACTTTAACTGCAGGCGTGTAAACAGACAGCTTTCCTGGTCAGCCTTTTATAATGTGGTAACTGTGATGTAGGTGAAGGCACTATGAACAAAGTACAGCTGTTTCCTCATCAGTTTAAATGAATACTAAATACCAAATTTTATCTAAGTAGTAAAAATATGATTCCCCTAAAATACACTTTACAGTTCCTTTCAAATTATCCTAAACTAGTTGCCACAGTCTAATAATGGAACGGAATGAACAGCCCATTTATTAAGGAGTTGCTGAAACCTATGATAGAACAAATGATATTTTTAAGAATTTTTAAAATGAGAGAGCATTTCAGTACTCATTAATAATCATTTAAAACACACACAGTTTTGGCTTAAGTATTTATTCAATGAGTATATCTTAGATGTCCAGTGATCACTTGAATTAGAGTCCCCAGAGAAGAAAGTTAATTTCAAACAAAATGTTTAACAATCTTAACAGCTGTAAATACTGTAAAATGATGCAGGATAATCTTACAGTTGCAATTGGTCCGTCGACATGATAATCAAGGCTGAAGACATCCCATCCAGTGTCACCTGGAGAGACCTAACAACAGAAACAAACACATAACTGCAAGACCTTAAGCTTATTGCTGAAGAACTTGTTGACGCAAAGAAAAAGCAGTAAAATAACGCCCCATTGTTAAAAACTGCTCAGCAGTTCTGAATGCATCTTCTGGTTAACTTCCACAACCTCACCAATTAGGCAATAATGAGCACACAGTAGGTGCTCTGCAAACATCTGGCAAGGAATGGTGTATTTCTGAATGAATATTGTGAATATGTGTTTAAAATTCATCACCATTTGCTACAACAAAAACGCACTGCCTCTAAATATGTTCCAAATCCTTAGTTATTCCAAGATGACTCCTGCAATATTTTAAGAAAACCAACCATTCTGCTAATGACCTTTCATCACAACTAAGTAAAGAGTGGGTTTATGTTAATACCCATACCCTTAAAGGAAAGTCATGTCCTACCAAACTGAAACTAAAAACATCAATTTTCTGATAAATATCATCATACACCATGTCTTGTGCTCCTGTTGGATTTACTATGAGACGAAAGCTCCATTCTCTAAGCATCTGTGTGTGCTACCGAGCTCAGGGCAAGGGTGTCATGCGTTTTCTCCAACTTAAGCCTAGCAGCCCTGCAAGGCTCCCTGCAAGATGGGCAAACGGAGACCCAGATGGTGTAGAGGGAGGAGATGTGCTGACCAGGCAGCAACAAGTGACAGAGTGGAGTTCCTACTCAGGCTGCCCAGTTTCCAGAAAGATAACGGCTAGCTGTGCCTGAAATAACATGGAAAACACTTGCTAGAACACCCCAGCCCAGTGGGTCCTCGGTGCCAGGGCGGCGTTCCCAACATGCAGAGCCGCAGTACCTCCAGCAGCCGCACGTCCAGCCTTCGCAGGATCTCAGGACTGTCAAACTGTGCGTTGGTGGCTCTGACAGCGGTTTCTAGAATTCCAGTCAAGTTATGCTGATACAAAGTTGTAGCTGGACGGACAAGTTCTGGTCTTAACAAATTTTTTAAAAATTAAAGAAAATATTACTTCAATTCTTAATGAACTTTTAAAAAAGTATAAACTATAAAAAGAGTTCAAATTATAAAAACTCAAAAGACAAATGGGACCAATACAATAATGTGGCAACAAAAGCTTCAGAGCATTAACTGCAAACAGAGTTTACTAATTATTGTGGAGTTACATTTCTTTAAAATCTCAAAAATACTGATTTTGGCCAGGAACATTTGTTCAAGCCTGTAATCCCAGCACTTTGGG